TGACAGTATTCTTGTGTTCTTCGTCATGTTTCAGTACTCAGTATTCTGGTGCTGACAGTGTTCCACTATTGTTCATAAAGTTTTCAGTGAATAAATATTCAGAAGTAGTTCATCTCTTGTTCCTCCTAGTCTGTCTTCATCTGAAAGCTCAGCTGAAAATCTAGTGCCATGGGTGACCCTGCTGGTATTTAAAATACCAGTGGTATAGGTTCCATGGTCACAGCAACAGACATGCCACCACAGTAAAACAAACTGACAAATGAGTGGTGATGTTTTAAAATAGCCTTTCTATATTTCTTCTAAATACTAAGTGTATGGTAAAAATAGTTTCCAATACATTTACTTTTATTCTTATGTATTGGTTTGTTTGTATATTTATGTATTTATTTAATGAAAGTTTTCTTTAAACATCCAACATTATGGTCCTTTATTAAAGTGTTTAGACAGTTTACATTTAATATTAAATTACTTATGTATATTCATTTGACTCTCCAAATTTTCTATATGTTTTCTATTTATCCCATATGGTCTTGGTAACTTTTTTCCCTTTTGTTATTGAATCTTATTTGTGATTTTTTAGTCCTCATCATAATTTATTAATTATATCACTGAGTTCTATTTTAATGATTGATCTAGAGTCTTAAATCTCTATATATAGCTTCTATCTGATTTGATATAATATGTTATTTTTTAACATATAATGAAAAACTATACAACAGAAGTTTTCAACATTCTCCAGTCTCAACCTTGTAATAGTGCCATTTAATTTTCTACCTTTGTCATAAAATTCAATATACATTGATGTTATTTTGCTTTAAGCATTCACACTTTGTTCCTCTATACATAGCATTTTTTTGCAGTTGAATCTTTAGTTTAAAGTTTGACAACGAAATGCTTTCCACCAACTTGTGGAGCCAAAACTTTCTCAGGTTTCACAATCTTTTGTTTAGGTGCTGCCTTTGTGGGAGCCTTAGCAGCAGCATTGCTATCTTTTTAGATGTTTGCTTAGCCTTTTTTGCTTCTTTGGCAACCCTTATGGCCTGTTCTCATTGAGTCTTTCTAACTTCAGCCTTCTGATTTATCTTGCCCATTGTATCAGCAAAAGATGCACTAGTGATGGCCTTCTGGAATTTGACTACACAGCAGGTCCTTTTCTTTTAAATTTCTTGTGGTTGTCCCATTTTGTGCTTTCTTCTGTAGAGGACAGTACAGTTTATCTGCTGAAGATTCCTCTTGGAAAGGAATGCAGACTCGCATTTTGCATTAAGAATCTGAAAAACTTTCCTGTCAATCCTGGAGTAGCATCTCCCATGTCCTTGGTATATGTTGTACCTACTGAAACTGCACAGTTCTATCTTCATGGCTGTGGCTGCAGAGGAACAGGGAAGATGGCAAAGAGAAAGAGAGGGTTATGGGAAAAGACATAGTATTTTATATGGCAAGTTTATAAATTCTCCCTTTATAACTGTTTTTTTTTTTCTGAAATATTATTATGATGGTGTGTTACATAATCTTTTCATTTATATGTTTATTGAGTTCATTTTATTTGTAGATTTGAGATTTTCATCAAATCTGAAAATATTTCAGGTTTTTTTCTGGCTATAACCAATTGCCTATTCTTTTGTTTCTTCAAGTATGTTGTAGTTGTTGTTAAGTGCTCTCAAAATGGTTCTAACCCATAGTGACCCTGTATAGGGTTTCTGAGGACCACGTGGTGAGCTTAAACTGCCGACCTTGAAGTTCAAATGGCTTTGCAGTCTGGCACATTAACCCACAGCACCACACCATGACTCCAAGTATATGTTTGCTAAATTACTGAATATTACATTGTATGTCATTGAAGCTCTGTAAACTCTTTAAGATTACATTTTCACTAATTTTGAAAGTTTCCTTTTCCATTTTTCAAATTCACTGACTTTTTAGTGAAGTGTAAAATTTGCTATTACTCACACCTGTGATTTTTTTTTCTTCTCTGCCACTATGTATTCTTTTTATCTCTAGAAGTTTTTTAAATTATTTTACTTATCCATTTATCTCCTCATATGCTTACGCTCTTATTCACAATTTGAAATGTAGTTTTCTCCTTAAAATATTTGCAAGCACTTCATAATGTTTTAGTTAGGATAATGTTCATATTTAGTCATTAGCTTCCTCTGACCTCATTTCCTTTTGCTTTTCCATGCTCTAACACATGTGTGAAAGTACCATAGCAAATGAAGCTTTCTGCTCCCATAAAGATTTAGGACTCCTGCTATGGTGCTCTAGGATCAACTCTGGACTATGAACCATAAGGTTGACAGTTCAAACCCACCAGCTGCTCCTTAGAAACACTATACAGGGTTGCTGTGATTTAGAATCTACTCAATGGTATTTAACAACAACAACACACATGTGGCTTCAGCATGAGAGTCTTAATGTTGGTGCCTCAGAGTCATCAAACATTGGTGGTTTTGGATTTACTTTTTTCTTTACTTCAGAATATCTTTCCTCAGACAATTGCCTTCAACCTACCAAAACCAGTTGCATCAGAGTCAACTATGACTCATGGAGATCCAGTGGTGCCAAAGTAAAACTATGTTCAACTTATGAGAAGCATGTGACCAGGCTTTTCTTTGAGACTCCTCTTGGTAAACACAAACTTTCTCCCTTGCAATTAGCATCTAAGCACGTTAACCTTTTATACCCACCTGATAATCCAAAATGTTGCTATCAAGTAGACTGAGATTCATGGAAGCCCTATCTGTGTCAAAGTAGAGTAGTAGAACTGAGCTCCATAGGATTTTCAATGGCTGTTGTTTTTTTCCCCATAAATTATAAATAAGATCACTGGCTTATTATCTGAAGTACTCCTCGGTGAAATAAAATCTTTAAACTTTCAGTGAGCAATGAAATGAAGTTTACACTATCAAAAACCCCACCTACAACATATTGTTGTTTCTGTTAGGTGACTTTGAGAGTGGGTTTCAAACCATAGTGACCCTGCATAGGGTTTTAAGGTGGGTAAGAACTGCGTGGAGTCCTGGTGTGATGCTGTGGGCTAGTGAGCTGGACTGCAAAGTCAGTTTGAATCACAAGGTTGGCAGTTCAAGTTCACCAGATGTCCTTGGAAATCCTATGCAGGGACACTATGGGTTGGAACCAACTTGATAACACTTAACAACAACAACAAGAACTTCCAACCTTGAGGTTAGCAGTCCAGTGCTTATCTAAAAGTACTACACAAGAAACTAAAACCTAGGAGGAATTAAATAGACAACTGCAAAAGAAAGGATGGAAGGAAGAGAGAGAACTATGCTTATCTAAATGGTATTAATATATAAGCATCTATGTTTGGTTTTCTAATATTTTTTTAATTAAATTTCAATTTATTATTTTTATAATTCTGAAAAAGAACATTAAGTTATTTACAAGAAACACTGATGTTTCTGATGTCATGTGCCCTTTGAGACTGTTAATCTTACATTACCCATTCCAGACAATTATCTATAATTGTTGCTCTGCTAAATTTCTATGGGAGTATATCTCCTGAGAAAAAGTTGCCTTCTTGTAAGATAGTCTTACTTTTAAGAAGAGGTTAATATTTGATCTGCAAGAGAAGGAGCTGGTGAATATTTAAAAACTGATGAATGACCTAACAAGCTAGTTGTTGTCTTATCAGTCATAAAAGGAAAACACATGGCTTTCAATAACACAGAAAAATTAAATGTCAGCAAATCTATATCAGTTTGCATCTTGTAAGAAGACAGATTATCCGAACTTAGTAAGTAATTTTTAAATGAGTTTTTCTATTTCCCAAGAAGTACAGGCTTGTAAAAAAGTAAATAATTAAAAGTCTGAGTCCAAAATTATAAGCCTGCCAAGTTGTAGTTTTATTCATAATATTTATCTGATCATTAATCATAATGATAATTACTTATTACAATTATTTTGTTCAACTTAGGTCCATGTTAAACTTATACATATCTTATTACTTGGTTAACAAACTTAAACAAATTTCAGATTAAACTGAAAACTTAGATGACAAAACAATCACAAAACTACTATCCAAAGTAATAATGCTAAATTTTATAGTCAATAATTAGTTTAATGTATTAATAATTAGTGTGTATTATTTGATAGTCAATTAAAGTGTGCACCATTAGTATTGAAAAAAGACAATTGACATTAGAACACTCTTTGAATGTCTGAATATTTATGAATGAGGAAAATTATGTTATTGGGAAATGTCTGCCATTACACACTTTTTCATGTAGGGAACAACTTAGACATAAATTTGGATATGTAAGGTGAGAACCATTGAACCCTAAAGAATAAAATTAAGAATGAGGCCTTTATACAATAAATAGTAGACTGGAACTTACTGACAGAGAAAAAGATAAATGGTTAGACTTTCAGCAATACTAGATTTTGCTGTGTTACACATCATGGTTATTTATATTAGATAAGTGATGAAATGGGTAAACTCCTTAAGATTATGGACATTAATGAATAACATCAAGCATGATTTATTATAGTTTTATAATTAAAAGGAAAGTATATGCTCTCAAAGTAGTTTCGTTTCCTTTTTTCCTGATTATAAGAAAGAAATTAATGTGGATTTGTTTTGGGTTTCAATTTTTACTAAATGTTTTCTTGCATGGTTATCAAATTGTTCAGATATTGTAGGATAATAGACATAACCCAAATGATATTCAAGACTTTTATGCGAACTATTTTTGGTATTTGAAAGTATCATCTTGTTATCCTTATTGCTTTACAAACTGACCTTGCAATCTAGCACATTAACTAGCACACAACCCCACACCAGAACTCCAAACTTGATAGTAGTAGGTAAAAAATTGCATACATTTGTTGAGGGAGTTGGATAGTGAAGATTATAAAATGTTTTTCTACACTGAGAACAAAACTAAGAAGCTGGCTAATCTTAATAAGATCATGTATTATTTTCTTAATATACATTTTTATTCTCTTCTTCAGCTAAAGGAATCCACATTTGGAAAATGTCCAACCTTACTATTATGGAAGACTTTATCCTCATGGGATTCTCTGACATCGAAGAACTTCAAATCTTATATGCTATATTATTCTTGTTGATTTACATGACTGCTCTGATGGGAAATATTCTTATCATCACTCTTACCTCTATTGACCAGCACCTTTCTACTCCCATGTACTTCTTTCTGAAGCACCTCTCTGTTTTAGACTCGTGTTTTATCTCAGTTACTGTACCCAAATCAATCATTAATTCAGTAACACACACCAGGTCCATCTCATTCCTAGGATGTGCCACACAACTGTTCTTAGTCCTTTACCTGGCTTTTTCAGAATTAGTCTTACTCACAGTGATGGCCTATGACCGTTATGTGGCTATTTGTCATCCCTTACACTATGAAGTCATCATGAACAAGAAGTTCTGTGTGCACCTAGTGGTGTCTTCTTGGCTTAGTGGTGGCATAGGTGGAGGAATGTATACTTCCAGCACCTTTTCATTAACTTTCTGTGGCATTCTCATACAGCAATTTTTCTGTGATGTTCCATCCTTAATGAAGATATCATGCATAGGTACACATCTTGTTAAAACTATCACAACTGCTCTAATTTTTTTTCTGGCATTGGGGTGTTTTATTTCTATCATAATTTCATACACTTGCATATTTATTGCTGTATTGAGAATCCCATCAATACAGGGAAGATCTAAAGTCTTCTTAACATGCCTGCCTCATTTACTTGTTACGACCTTATTTTTTTCAACTGGCAGTACACCGTATTTGATTCCCAAACCAGATAACCCATCAATTCAGGATCTCTTACTATCTGTGCTCTACACCGTGGTGCCTCCAACTCTGAATCCCATTATATACAGCTTGAGAAATAAAGATATCAAATATGCTCTAAGAAAGATTATTCTTGGCAAAAATTCTTTATGTTTTAATACTCATATGTAAATTTTCTTATATATGGAATATTCTATATATTCTTGTGTGGCTCTAGTATACACACGGGATCACTAACTGCAGGGTCATAGGTTCAAACCCACCTGCTGCTCCTTGGAAACCAATACCCAGGGTGGATATGAGTCTAACCGATTTGATGGACTTAACAACATTAATATATTTTGAATAATTTCAACTTGAGACGATGCATCGTGTATGCTTATTTAATTGGGTCACAAGTGGGGATGGTGCTTATGGATGATTTACTAGAATGCATCTGTGTCTGCAGTCCTACCTAGATCATGAGGCAAGACTGCAAAGTACACCTTGGATTTTATAGTTGTGACTGTCAATTAGTTGTTATTATTGCTTCTCAATTACATATTCTATTCACTAATTTCAAGTATGCATTCTCCATGACTAAGAATTTTGAACCAAATGGCAAAAGATTGATGATATTGAGAGTTAATTTATCTCAGTAAAATCATTTGAAAATATAATTCTGTCACAACTGGATTATCTGGACTCTGCTTGCTTATGTACTTTTTGAATATGATGTTTTAATTTTTACTTTGATCATGAGATCTACTTAATATCAATAAATTGATGTTCTCTTGATTATTAAACAACCTATTTTAGTGGCAGGATTAACATTTTTGTTAATTTGTTAATTGACTATCTGAGAAGAAAAAAAAAAATTAAAGCAAAATTACAATGACTAGTCTCTGAAGAGACAATGGTGAAATTACCAGTTATATGATTTCAGGGGTTATCTGCAACAATGTGTTCACTTAAGGCACTGCTCAGTGGGTTTGGTTAACATGCAGTGGTAAAGATAAGATAGATTTATCATAAATACCCTGGTGCTGTAAAGCAGCACCATCCATAGGACATTTTCTAGTGTGTTTAGAAAATAAAATTTTATCTTAATTTTAATTTATTAAAAATTATGTTTAATTAGTCCCATGTGACTTTATTTATCATTCTTCACATATTTGCAGTGATAATAATAAAGTAAATCTAAAATGTTGTATTGAAATTATAAAATAAACCCTGCACTCTTTTACTTTTTTTCTTTTTTTAGCCTATGTGGAGGATAATATTCTTATTAGAGCCACAGGACTATTGAAAACAGGAAGTATACAAGATAGCTGGGTTCATATTTTTATTCAGGAAGAAATTTTAGAATTTGTCTTACTGTGTACCTACCAAAGAGTTCTAGAGGCACTTTAAGGTGCCTGCTAACTGCAAGGTGGACAGTTCAAACCCATCAGTGCTCTGTGGGAGAAAGGTGAGGCTTTATGTCTGGTCCCATAAAGATTTACAATTTTGGACATCTTCTGGGGCAGTTTACTCTTTCCTACAGAATTGTTATGAGCCAGAATTGACACTATGACAGTGAGTTTGGTGTGTGTATATCTACCACATCAATGAGACTTCTGGATACTAGAAATCAAGGTATTTATCCATGGTTTGAATAATATGCAAGTTCCTAGGAAGAAAGTAGCAACGAGATATTGAGGGATACATCATTTTCTCTTATACAGTAATCTTAAACATTAACAAAACACAAACCTAAATAGGCAATTAAAGCAAAACATCGGCCAATTTCAAGAACAACCTAAGACTGAGAAATATACTATCTGCTGCAGAATCATTGCATATCTACCAGAGCATCTTCAAAGGTCAGTAACCTGATAGCAAAAAAAAGTAATACCAAATGAATTAAATTAAATTGTACATTGTTTAAAAATACATACAACTGAAGTAGCAATCTGTTCCAAAAGAGAGCTCTGAAACATGCTGGAATTGTATCTTGTGGTGGACAAAGCTTGTACTGCAGATAACACTCGATGAACTACATATTTCCTGCATACTGACATTACTTATTATGACAAAAATTGCAATCTTTCAATAATACGCTTGTGTTGTTGTTGTTAGGTGCCATGGAGTTGGTCTTGATTCAAGCAACCCTGTGCACAGCACAACAAAATACTGCCTGGTTCTGTGCCATCCTTTCAATTGTGTTTGAACCCATTGCTGCTGCCAGAGCATCTATCCATCTCGTTAGAGGTTTTCATCTTTTTTACTAACATTTAGCATGTTTAGCATCGAGTCGGTACTGACCCATTGCAACCATATGCATAGTTTGAGCTTTTTTTTCCAAACATGATACTTGTTGATAAGTGCCTTCATGTTGGTTCCAATTCATAGCAACTCTGTATGGACTTATGGTTGTTAAGTGTTGTCTAGTCGGTTCTGACATATAGTGACCTTGTGTAGGGTTTCCAACTAGTCCTTCCTAATATGCTTGTAGCCAGAGCAAATAAGTCTCATTTATTCTAATAGCCTCACTTGTTCTGTCAGACACTATGACCCTATGCATGTAAACCCCAAAATACTCTGGTGAAAGAATCAAATGGGTGTAACTTTGTTGTCATAAGACTAAAATAAGTGAATAAAAAAACATTGTTGCTGTTGTTGTTACATGCTGTGGAGCTGGTTCCAAATCATAGGGCCCTTACATAGCATTTCCAAAGTAGGAAATCTCTGGAGCATAAATCTTCATCATTTCTCCCAGTGAGAAACTAGCAGGCTCAAAACACAAACCTTGTAGTTCTCAGTCTAGTACTTATTATACAGACCCAAAATGCTTCTACATATACTATTCAAAACATCTGCAAATTCCAATTTAAGAAAAGTACATCTAACCTTAGTCAAATAAAGAAAACTTGACTTTATGAAGGCAGTTAAATACATATTATTGTGATTGATTTAGAAATATGTGAATTTTAATTCTTCTGAATTAAACCAATTAAATGATGATAAGTATGAAGAAAGGATTTCTTGAGAACAGAGAAAATGTTCTAAATTTCATTTACCATGTTTAGCATCGAGTCGGTACTGACCCATTGCAACCATATGCATAGCAGAATGAAACACTGCCCGATCTTGGTCCACCTCACTACTGTTGCCATGCTTGAGTCCGTCGATGATGCCACTTGGCCAATCCATCTCTCATTGTGGTCTTCCTTTCTTTCTCTGACCCTACACCTTACCAAACATGATATCCTTCTCCAGAGACTGATCCTTCCTGACAATATGTCCGAAGTATGAGAGATGAAGTTTGGTCATCTTGGTCTCTAAAGAGCACTCTAGCTAAACTTCCTCCAAAACAGATCTATTGGTTCTTTTGGCAGTGTGTGGCACTTTCAATATTCTCTTCTAACACCATAAATCAAAGGCTTCAATTCTTCTATGTTCTTCCTTATTCACTGTCAGCTTTCGCATGCATATGAGGCTATTGGAAATAGCATGGCTTGGGTCAGGTGCACCTTAGTCCTCAAGTTGACATCTTTGCTCTTCAACACTTTAAAAAGGTTTTATGCAGCAGATTTGCCTAATGCAATATGTCATTTGATTTCTTGACTGCTGCTTCCATGAGTGTTGATAGTTGATCCAAGATCTTTAGCATGTGGGAGGGATAAAATGTTTGGTTTACAATAACTTTATAAGGAAAGAGCAAAGTATCAACATTTTCTATAGATTAGCACATTATATATAACAAAATTATAGATTAGATTAATGTATGTGCATTTTTGACATTTAACAACTGTCACCAACAAAAATAACAATTTTGTGTTTTTCAATAAAATGTAAATTTGGAAAGTAGATACATACTGAAGAAATTGGAGGAACATGAGTAAAAGACCAGGATGCCTTTTAATGGACTATTAGTTTAAATATGGATATTAAAGATGCTACTGGGAAGGGCTCAGAAGAAGTAAAAGGATTATAATAACATTTTAAATTACCTTTATTTCCATTAACAGACTGACAGTATAAATTTGGAATTTAAAAATGCTGCCAATGTGTGTTAGAAGGAATTGAGAAAAATGTTTTTCAAACCTAGATGCAGAGAGAAATTTGATTTACAATTATAAAAAACTTAATGAAATTGTGTCCTGCAGTTGTGTGGTTATCAGACTAAGTTTTCAAGTGAATTGCCAAAGGTATGGATTTATTACAGTGTGAAAGAAGACAGGGATATTAAAGTAAGAAATGTTGAATTTAAAATGACCAGCACTTTTTGATATGAGAAAAATTGAGCCCATTTAAATTGCAAAAATTCTAAAATAGTTTTCCAAAATCATGTCTTAGAGGAAGGGTTAAGAATGTGGCCATGAAATCTGTTGCTGAAACTTGTGCAATGTCAAAAGATGCAAGTATTTATTTTTATAGCTTTTTATAATAAGAATATATATTTTTTTTAGATTTTCTCAGTCCAAAAAGAGGCTCTCTAGGTAATTTTAGAGCTCATTCAATGAATAACCACATTTTTTAGTGAATACCTATAGCTTCTTTTTTGTAACTGATTTCCTCAAAAAATAAGAATAAAAGTCTAAGGTGGAGTTAGTTCTGCATGCATTCTTGGCATCAGGACTATCTGCCTGTCAGGTTGCATCCACTCTGGTCTCTGAGTGTTTCTTTCTCTCTCGCCTCCAGACCTCCCACCTTCGTGAAGCCCACTCCACCATTGAGGCCAGACCCCGACACTTTTTATAATAAGAATATTTCTTTTAGATTTTTCTCAGTCCAAAAAGAGGCTCTCTAGGTAATTTTAGAGCTCATTCATTAGTTATCTTAGAAGAAACCAAAATAGATATTAATAATTTGCCACTCTTTTTGGCTTCTTCTGAGATGTTTGAGGAATAAACTCCTATTCACCATTAATTGGCTTCTTACTAAATATCTTGCCTAAAACTGATTGATATCTAAACTGATAGGAAAAATTTTAGTAACAATTAATAATAGCTTTGGGATAAAAAATGGAAAGATTGATAAAATATTCATACTTTTTATATTTGATTTTAATTGAATTTGTTTAAACTGTAGGAGATAATTGTAGAATTATTATTAAGAAACGAATAGTCTATATTGTATATAGTAAACCTGGTGATGCAGAGTAGTATGCATTGAGCTGTTCACAGAAAGTCAGCGTTTCAAATCCA